AAAAAAAAAAAAAAAAAATGAAAAAAACTAGAGGAAATAGGGCTATGAGAAAAACAAAACGAAAAAGAAAAAAATTCACACTGCTAAACGCGTATAGTGTGCACTCATTGAAAACAAGTTGGCTTTAACCACAAAATAAAACATTCTTTACATGCGTCGACTTCAATTAAACAGAGTCTCGAATAAAAGGGAAGAATCACTGCTCTGAAACTTTCAAACAGAAACTACCAAGCAAGGAAATTTCTTCATGGTTTAACCGGAAGTCAAGAAGCAAAACGCAGGTTTTCTTAGATCCAATCAATAAGAATTGAAAAAAATAGACAGACATCAACGACAGATAAGTAACTGTCGACGATATTCCAACGGAACAGATAAGTTTTTCATATGTCTTAGGTAATAAGCCGTTTGCAGGACGTTGTTAACAGTGCAACAGAAACGAAGCAATAAGCTTGGCACATATTCAACTGCCTAAAACCACATATTTTAAATGAAATTATCTTTTAGATGCAGCACGATATTTCTTGAGTTAGCGGAACAGATGGCTGGTAGCAAGTACGGGTATCGCCCTGCTTACACCATCACTTTTTGCATGCCCGCTGGCTCATCTTTGCTTTTAACATTTTTATGACTGCTGAATATGCTTTTTGCTTCCGTCACTTGTTTTCGAACTTATTTCGCCTAACGATGAAACCTCGTTGTTCAGTTGGTCGTTTTGGTTTTTTCTTTCGTCTTAAGGGGTTTGATTTTTTCTTGATGTTTAATCTATAATATGCACAAATAATTAAATTATTTCTTTAGATTTTGAAAATCAAATTTAATGATTTGTTTTAGCGCTATTATTTTGCAGTATCTTACTATTTTTGCCAACAACGTTTGTGCAATGAAAGATAACGACGGTGTAGGCGAAAAATTTTTGGATGGTGGGGATGATGGTCGAGAAGAACGTTCAGAACCACTTACGCCTGACAGGTAGTTTTATTGGTTTATACTACTGCTAAACTGTAAAGCATCTTGCCTTAGTAGCTTAATTTGTTTAAATTAGTGATCTATCAAGCCATAAACACGTTTACTGAGAAACTAAAGAAAGCTCAGAGAAACAGTCGTACTGCAGAAAATTCACTCGATAATTCATACCAACCTTTAATAGTCAGTTTCGTAGGCTAAAATATAATTTTTCACAGTTGGATAAAATAGTTTTAGAGGGTTCTTCAAGTACAGTTTGTTAAAGAAAACTGTTACATTCTATTCCAACTTTTTGCTAAAATTTGGATTGGAGCTCTGAAAATATTTTGGATGAAAAGGTTGAATGTTTTTTAGCAAATGATTGTTCTTGAGAAAAAAATATGATCCTGCTTTTTTATAGGCTTTATTAATACTATTTCAGTAGATCGACCTACTGATTTTTTACTGATATAATGTCCTCAAATTTGTCAGTTGACTGTAGTCATGACGAGCTAACTTTTTGAAACACTTGTTATCATACATGTTCAAAACCATTTGTTTTCTATTAATTGTTGAGAAACCGTTTGTCTCATTTTATATAAATAAGTTATTATTTAGTCATTACGTCTTATTGTAATATAGAAAGACCAGTTACTCCTCAAAAAATAATATGAGTTTAAAATAAAACACGACTTTAAGGTAGCAGGGCTGCTTCTCATCTGAATGGCAGGACTTTGATTTCTAGATGATGTCATTTAATTGTCGTTTCCCTTACT